AGGAGGGCCTGGCATGCTCTGGTCCATGGGATCACGAAGAGTCGGACATGACTAAACAACTAAACAACAACAAAAGCGCAGCGTAGTGCCTTGGCACTAATGGAAGCAGTATAAAAACAAACTAACTAAATAATAGCCTGACCATATTTATACAAGCTGAAAATGTATGTTAGAATGCACAACCAAGTGTTTCTAGTTTGTCTTAGTTTCATTTCTTCCACACTTTCAGCCAGCTAGCAGACTATATTTGTATTTTTACTTGATGCTGAAAAAGCCTTCAATACAATACACTGGAAATTCATACACTTGCTGAATTTTATTTTCCTTCTGAGTTTCTAAAATGGATCACAATTCTTTATTCACTTTCAAGATCCAAGGTACAGAGTATTCATACTTTTTCTTCATTATTTCCTCTTGACACCAACAAGACTAAATTGCCCTTTCCCGTTGTATTTTGTGTTTGGAACACCTGACTTGTGCTCCTAAATAAAATAAGTAGCTATGGGTTTGTCCTGTCATATGTTCTTTTTATTACTTGAATTAATTCTGTACTGGATCATTTTCTGACTTCTGTTGATATTTATACAGTATGCTTTTAAATTATTTGCCAAATTCCTTGGCTGCAAAAAAGAAGAGAGCATCTCTGTGCCCTTGCTGTGGCAAAAAGGCTTATAATATTAGAAACATATATGCCCACTTTCTGTCGTTCAATGTATCAACATATGAATACATAGCATGTAGAAGACAATTTCATATGGCTTTATGTTTTACACGTTTGGATGCCTTTACAGAAGCTTATATATAGATCCTATTATTCTTATTGTATTTGTAGGTCTATATATTTTTTGCAGCCAAGGTCCTTTGCAGAAAGAATGAACTAGGAAATCCTTAAGAGTAAGGATGGAAACAAAGGCCAAGATCACCTATACTGCGGTATCTCTGACGACTATGTATGGATGTGAAAGTAGTTAATGAAGAAAGCAGACAGGAAAAAAAAATTGAAATGTGATGCTGGAGGAAATATTCCCATTTATCAACTGCTGCAAAAAGGACAAACAAATCAGTTCTAGATCAAACATGCTTGACTAGAATCTAGAAAGACTTAATTGAAATGATTATATTGTGAAGGTATCATGAGAACAGAAGACTCACTGGAAAAGACAATAATGCTAGGAAAAGAAGGCCAAGTGTAAAACGAATTGACTTAAAAATTTGCAAGATGTGAACAGGTTAATGACAGGATCTTTGACAGATCAATAATTCACAGGGTCACCATAACTCAGATATGATTTGATGTCACACACCAGAAATATTTAACTGCTTGCTCCACATTGGGATGAAATCGGAAAAAAATTAGTTACAGTAGTTTCAATGTATCAGCACTTGTTCCCAGCCCAATACCCTACCTTCTGATCGATGTCTGGATCATGTTCATCCACAAACACAAGTGTTGGAGAAGTTGCAACAATAACAGTCCTCTGGAAATTCACAAAGTCATTGTTTGCATCATTCTGTGAACCAAATGGACTGTGGGAGGCACATTTTTCTCTTGACACATTCTTCTGCTTTGTGCAGTTACTAGTGCCCTTTGCAATAGTTTTCTCTCTACTGTGGTCTTGCTGGTACTCTTCACCGTTGTCTTTTGGAACTTCTGACACACATCTCAAGTGCTTTTCTATCCTCCATGATTTCTTTTCACTCAGACTAACGTTAATATTTTTTTCAGGAGTTTTACTTTGCTGTTTGCTGCACTCTTTCTCAGGCTTTTGTTTACCTTCAGTCTGTGAAAGCTTCCACATATTTTTTACACTACTATCTGAGCTACATGGTTCTCTAAAATATCTCTTTTTACTATGTTCACAAGTTGTACTGATGCCCTCTTTTGCTGTTATTTGGGGGCTGGTTTGCTCCTGCTGAAGTACTGGTTCATCTTCACATTCTGGTAAGTCAATTATGCGTTTTGAACTACCACCTGCTTCAGAACCCTCTTTTCCACTGTGCCTAGAGTTATTACTTAGAGGAGCTTTTTGAAAAGTTGACTTCAACTGAAATTCTGAATCATTTTCATAACTTGATAATTTAGGGATATGTCTCAAACTACACCCTGTTCTGAAAGCCTCTCTTCCATTGTGCTTAGAGATATTATGTTCTTTTTTTACAGCCGTTTTCTGAAAACTGGACTTCTGTTGAAGTTCTGGTTCATCCTCAACTCTTGGTAATTTAGAAATACATCCTGAGTTGCCACTTGATCTGGAAGGCGCTTTTCCACTGTGCATTGATGCATTAAGTTCTTTTTCTAGAGCAGCTTTCTGTAAGTTGGACTCCAGTTGACATTCTGCTTCATCCTCGTCCTCAAATCTTGGTATTGCTGGGATAAGTCTTAAGCTGCCACTTGACTTAGAAGGCTCTTTTGCACTGCTCTTAGTGATATTTTCTTCTTTAGGATCAGTTTTTTTAAACCTGGAGTCACACTGCAGTTCTTTTTGCGACCTTGAAATTACAGACACATGCCTTGAACTACCATCTGAGCCAGAATTTCCTCTACTCTGGCTAATAGAAATATTAATTTGATCTTTTGCTATACTTTTTGGACAGTGTGGATCTTTCCCACTTTCCTGTTCTCCTGGTTTTGATGCTTCTGAGAAATGTTTCAGGTTGCCAGGAGAGTCTGATGTCTCCTTTCTTTCCACACGAATTCCATTTGGAGGTGCTCCCTCTCGCTTAGTTCGTAGTGCTCCCCCCAATATACCAAGCAGAGCTTTGCGGCATATTTCTCGAGATCCTTGATAATAATCTTGGCTCTTTACTCTCCTCCTACCATGGTAGGCCTCTGCTTCTTTTGACGTAATTTTTTGTTCAATGCTTGGTGTATGGCTTGGACCTTCATCACTGCAATCATCTTGCTTATTCTAAACAGTAAGAAAAATGTAAGTTACACACACAACTGGCATAAAATTCATAGAAATATGAATTTCTATTATCTCCACATGATAGTTAGCAATGGGTGACTTTGTTAGCAACGATAAACCAGAATTCCAGAAAAGCACAGTTTACAATTCACCATCTGTGTGCTACTGCACAAAGCCCTTTCATTCCCAGTTAGTTTTTTCTGCCAGAAGGAGTGGGTAAACCGACCAGAATCTGAAACCTTACAATATTTTCTGGTAAAAAAGTGTGGGATTACGTGCTCCTATTGCCAGGAGGAATCCAGAAAGGGATGCATGCCATAGTATGCAACTCATGAATGAAAAGCCAAGTTTTTCTGGAATTCTGGCTTACTCAGACAAACATTTCACTCACTGTTTTAGCAAAAGGGCAGTTACTTGACCAGCTTACAAACTCTTATATTAATTTGAAGAAAGCCAATTGGATGGGGGAATCTTGTTTGTTTCTGGAAATTAAATAACCACTCCTGAATTATCTAATACATATTAAACAAGTACACGAAACAATGTAGATTCCAGTGATCATGTTTTTTTAAATTTGCTGCTAATATTACAGATCATGGGTTTTTCCTCTGCTTTCCAAAATACACAGAGGAAAAGCAATTCTATTTTGAAGTGAAATACACTTTTTTCTCAGAAACGGAATTTATTATGAACAAATGATTTTTTAAAATTGCACAATGGCTAAATGGATTACACACATCTTATTTTCCCCCCTTAAGACAAAATTATGTATACAATTTTTAAACCACATTACAGTAAAACCTTCCAAAGCGAAATGTTATGATTCTCTATAACAAAAAGGTAATTGAACATATACAGTCCAAAACATACATGCATTTTTAATGTTTTAGTCAGTAACTATTCTTTGCACATTTTTGTCATTATCTACATTACCTTATGTTTCAAGCACTCTTGAGATTCAGGTATCACATTTCTTTGAGACATGTCACAGTCCAAATGCTTTACAGGCAGGGTTTGGCTCGACAGCGAATGGTCTGGGATCTCTTTAACAATGCTGCTGGCTTCATCATCTAAATCAAACTCATCAGAGGATGAATCCTCTGCAGTAAAGGAAGCTCTGGGAAACTCTTTATAAGAAGATTCTGGCAGGTACGAAGTCTGTCTCTTTCTGAAAGCAGCGGTCTTCTTGCCACTAAAGCTAATGTTAGGGCAAGGGTGTGGTGGCCCGTCTTCCGTGAGCTTGCAGTATTTGGTAGGCAAGCTAATGGACGAACTGTCCCAATCTAATTTGCGTCTCCTGTTTGGCTGCATTGAGGCTGGATAGTCTGGGCATTAGAAAAGAGAAAGCAGGGGTTATTTTTTTAAAAAAAAAAATCAGAAAATAAAAACATATACTGTGCAAACATTCAAGTCTTTGCGTCCAATAATATCATGCAAGGAAGATTACAGAATTTACAGCAAAGCCCTTTTCTTTTGCACACAGTCTCCCACAACATTGTAAACAGAAGCCAGCTTCCAGGGGAGGCGAGTTCAAAATCAAAAGGGAGCGTCTCTACCTGATCAACCCATGCCACCAATCGCTGCTCGGGAACACCTCCTCCTTTCTCTCCCCCCCAAAACCGCCTCCCAGGAAGAAGGCCAGGGCGCAAAAGGCCAGAGTTCCCAGCCTGCTTTGGGTGGAAAAGGAAGAGGGCGGACAGGAAGGGAAACTTCGCGGATGCCAATCCCAACAGAGACCGCCTAATGGCTGGAAAAGGAAGTCGGGGGAGGGGGGCGGGCCGGAAGGAACGAAGGCGTTCCCATGGGAACAACAATGGGCGACCTTCTCCATGCCTGAGCACCAACAGGCACGGGGGGGCCGTGAAGCCCTCGCGGACAAGGACCCTTTATCATTCCCCGCCCCCCCTCGGGAGACTCGACCCGCGCGCCCCTTGTGCAGCGCGCGACCGCGGGCAGCTAGTCCTGTGCCCCCTTTACGGCCGTTGGTTACTCACTGGCACGCGCGCGCTCTCTCCTAGTCCCTGCCCGCGCCAGGCTTGGGGGACGGGGGGGGGCGGAAGGTGGCTAATCACACCCTGTGTCGAGGAAGCGGGGAAAGAGGCGGGGTGTGAAAGCGCCGCGAGAGCGGGCGTCGGATGGGCAGGTGGGGAGTCGGAGCACGTGGCCAGATGGGGGGGCACGTGACTGAAGCGAAAAGAGAAGGAGAGGAAGTGGCCGGCCCTGTTTGTGCCGTTCCTGTCGAGCGCCCTGTAGGAGGGGGAGCTTGTAGGGTTGGCCATCACTGGGCAGCAGTTGGTTTCCCTATGAAATTCTCGTCGTTTAGTCATTAAGTCGTGTCTGACTCTTCATGACCCCATGGACCAGAGAACGCCAGGCCCTCCTGTCTTCCACTGCCTCCCGGAGTTGGGTCAAATTCATGTTGGTTGCTTCAATGACACTGTCCAGCCATCTCGTCCTCGGTCGTCCCCTTCTCCTCTTGCCTTCACACTTTCCCAACATCAAAGTCTTTTCCAAGGAGTCTTCTCTTCTCATGAGATGGCCAAAGTACTGGAGCCTCAGCTTCAGGATCTGTCCTTCCTGTGAGCACTCAGGGTTTATTTCCTTTAGAATGGATAGGTTTGTTCTCCTTGCAGTCCAGGGGATTCTCAAGAGCCTCCTCCAGCACCACAATTCAAAGGCATCAATTCTTCGGCGGTCTGCTTTCTTTATGGTCCAGCTCTCACTTCCATACGTCACGACAGGAAAAACCATAGCTTTGACTATGCGGACTTTCGTTCGCAAGGTGATGTCTCTGCTTTTTAAGATGCTGTCTAGGTTTGTCATTGCTTTCCTCCCAAGAAGCAGGCATCTTTTAATTTCGTGGCTGCTGTCTCCATCTGCAGGGATCATGGAGCCCAAGAAAGTAAAATCTCTCACTGCCTCCATATCTTCCCCTTCTATTTGCCAGGAGGCGATGGGACCAGTGGCCATGATCTTAGTTTTTTTGATGTTGAGTTTCAGGCCCTTTTTTGCACTCTCCTCTTTCGCCGTCATTACAAGGTTCTTTAATTCCTCCTCACTTTCTGCCTTCAGAGTGGTATCATCTGCATATCGGAGGTTGTTGATATTTCTTCTGGCAGTCTTGATTCCGGCTTGGGATTCCTCCAGTCCGGCCTTCCGCATGATGTAGTCTGCATATAAGTTAAATAAGCCGGGGGACAATATACAGCCTTGTCGTACTCCTTTCCCAATTTTGAACCAATCCGTTGTTCCATATCCAGTTCTAACTGTTGCTTCCTGTCCCACATATAGGTTTCTCAGGAAATTGATAAAGTGGTGAGGCACTCCGATTTCTTTAAGGACTTGCCATAGTTGCCATAAGAAAGTCTACTAGATTGTAATCCTGTTATTCCTTTGAAAACAGACCTATTAACGAAGAAGACAACAACAAAGGGGCTTGTGGCACCCTCAGCCAAGCAGTGTGGGAGGAAGAAAGGTTTATGCGGTGTGGTGAGCTACGTGTGTCCGAATAGCTGGATGGAAAATTCCAGCCGCATGTGACCAGGGCCTGAAGCGTTACCTCACACCCTCAAAGCCTGGTTGCAACCAGCTTTAAACTCACCTTAAAAAGATATCTAGCAAATGTCTGCCATAAATTTTTTGGGACATTCATTAATAATTTTTCTGCACTGGCTGCAAGAGTATGGTGCATGCCTGAAGAAGTCAATTTTTAATTCCAGAAAGTTTGCATTGGTTGTTTGATTTTTAGTGGGCCTATAAAGGTGTTGCCTTTTGCATTTTTATTGTGCAAGGATCACATAACTCCCTTTGTGGCACTTTGAAGACTTAACAGATTTTATTTAACAGATAAGATTTTTGTGGACTGCAGTCCCCTTGTTCAGATGCCAGGAGATATTTAGGCATCAGTAGATATTTATATAGTATTTTATTTATTTATTTATTAAATTTATACCCCGCCCCTCTAGACCATGTCTACTCGGTATGGCAATATTTATCTACTGAGGTTGCACTTTATATGGCTAAAGCTTCTCTATGGATCTAGGTTCCAGGTGCAAGCAGTGTGGACTGACAATGTCCCCTGTCTAAGAGAACACGCACTGAGCACGGGATGGTGAGCATGGCAGCAGTCTCACTGCCACCTGGGCCAGAGCTCTCCAGACAGATTCCTCCTCAGCCCAGTAAGACAAAAGATTGGTCTCTTTTGGCTTACAAGGCTCTTGCATATGCTTCTACTTTTGTCTCTGCCTTGGTCCCACCACCTTCATGGTGCGTCTAATGGGGACACAGAAGAAAGCCGCCTCTGTTGCTGCTCCCAGCATTTGGAACTCCCTCCCACAGGAGGCCAGACAGGCCCCATGTTTGCTGTCCTTCCACAAGCAAAGACATTTCTCTTCCAACAAGCCTGCCCTCGGTAACTAAGCTACCTGTGTGTGATGTTTAGATGGATTGTTGTGCATTACTGCTTTGACTGGATTTTTAGTACTACTTGTGTTTTCCATTTTTCAGAGTGGCATTTGGTGTGTTTTTTTAATATTTGCATTCTTGTTCTTAGCTTTAATATTGCCTTTTAATGATGTAAGGTGCCTCTTTATACTCATTCTTCTTAACTTTAAATACTGTCTTTTAATATTAACCACCACTGTATGCTCATTGTTTCCAATTTTAAATATTGTCTTTCAGTGCTGAAAGCTGCCTTCAGTCCTTTTCAAGGAGAAAGACAGGGTAAAATACTTTAAATATAACTACTAGGTTGACAGTTTGGACCATACACCGCACCCTTTCACCTTCCCAGCCTGCAGTGTTGCCACTAGGTTTGCCTCTCCATGACAAACAGACCTTTCCTTTTTGTAGCTAGACTCCACAGGTGTCCTAAGAGCCTCTTGAATGTTGTGAGTGGTGTGGCTGCCCTCCATCTCGGCCACATTCAACTGGACTCACCTGTATTCTGCCTTTGTGTGGGTGCCCTATGCTTGATGCCTCCACCTCCCAGCAGTGTCCTGTTCATCCAGGGCTATCATCTCCTCTAAGTGATGAGTGATCCTGGGATTTTTGTTTGCAGAAGACCTTTTCCTGCATCCCTCAAAGTTCCTCCAGGGTAGTCTGGAACTTGTTCTTGAGATGTGACACTGGCATTTGCTGTCTCCTACCTCTTACGATTTGCCCATCTACCTCCTTGCTTCCCTGGGCTGGTGACTCAACTTCAGCCCTCTGATGACACTTACCCTTCAAAATAAAGAAGCCACTTGTCCCCACAGCGTTCACTTCATTTGCCAGCAGCAGTGCCATGTGTTGAGTCTTTAGACGGCTGAGCATGCTACTATTGGAGAAGTGGCCCAAGTCCTGCCCATCCTTGAGCACCTTTCTGCAGTGCACATACTCAGCCATGTGATCGTCTGTTGCACACCGTTGAAAATTCTTCCACATTATTGACTACTTAGGAGCTCCAGTTTTTGATTGCATGTTTCTAACAGGGATTTCTGACTTGTCATCACTTCTAGTTCCAGCAGCTGGTGGGGCAAGTGCAGATGGAGGGGCAGGGGTCATTTCAGTGTCACATGCTTACAAAATAGTGCCCCCTCAGTATCCTTCTCCCCCGTGTCAAGTGTACGTGTACTTGAATGTGAGGGAGTGCCCAGCAAGCACAGTGCTACTTTGCACAGGAGAGATTTACTGGGAATGGAGGCAAACCCTTCTTTGAATATGATAGACTTGCATGGCATAGATATGAAAAGCAGTGTCCAGGGATGGGGACTCAAGTCATAGGACTTGCTATCAAGTCAGACTTACGTCACGCTGGTAACTTGACTAGGACTCGTCCTTTTAGTTTTTTTCAATGAATCAGACTCAACTTGTGATTCAGAATTTACTCCCCCATCCTTTTTTGGAGAAAAAAGCTTGTTTTTAATAGGGACTGACTTGAGGCTTGGTACTTGGTACCAGAGACTCAGATCCAAAGACTTGTCAACATCCCTGGCAATGTCTGGTTCTCTTCATAAATCTTTTGACCAACCACAAAAGCAGCAGCACTGCTTCTGCCTTAGTTGATCGTGTTAGTCTGAATGCTGATGCCATCTTTGCCCTTTTCTCCCAAAGAGCTGATGTGCAAGAGTTCCTTCTTCACCATATTTTTTATTTACTCCTATTCATCTCACCTTCAACCAGACGCATCTCTGCTACCTGAACATTTTGCGCAAAGATGAACATGATAAAAGACAAAAATGGGAGGGACCTAACAGAAGCAGAAGACGTCAAGACGAGGTGGCAAGAATACACAGAGGAATTATATCAGAAAGATTTGGATATCCCGGACAACGCAGACAATGTAGTTGCTGACCTTGAGCCAGACATCCTGGAGAGTGAAGTCAAGTGGGCCTTAGAAAGCCTGGCTAACAACAAGGCCAGTGGAGGTGATGGCATTCCAGTTGAACTATTTAAAATCTTGAAAGATGATGCTGTTAAGGTGCTACATTCAATATGCCAGCAAGTTTGGAAAACTCAACAGTGGCCAGAGGATTGGAAAAGATCAGTCTACATCCCAATCCCAAAGAAAGGCAGTGCCAAAGAATGCTCCAACTACCGTACAATTGCACTCATTTCGCACGCTAGCAAGGTTATGCTCAAAATCCTGCAAGGTAGGCTTCAGCAGTATGTGGACCGAGAACTCCCAGAAGTACAAGCTGGATTCCGAAGAGGCAGAGGAACTCGAGACCAAATTGCTAACTTGCGCTGGATTATGGAGAAAGCCAGAGAGTTCCAGAAAAATATCTACTTCTGCTTCATTGACTATGCGAAAGCCTTTGACTGTGTGGACCACAGCAGACTATGGCAAGTTCTTAAAGAAATGGGAGTGCCTGACCACTTTATCTGTCTCCTGAGAAACCTATATGTGGGACAGGAAGCAACAGTTAGAACTGGTCATGGAACAACTGATTGGTTCAAAATTGGGAAAGGAGTACGGCAAGGCTGTATATTGTCCCCCAGCTTGTTTAACTTATATGCAGAATACATCATGCGGAAGGCTGGACTGGAAGAAACCCAAGCCGGAATTAAGATTGCCGGAAGAAATATCAACAACCTCCGATATGCAGATGATACCACTCTGATGGCAGAAAGTGAGGAGGAATTGAAGAACCTTGTAATGAGAGTGAAAGAGGAGAGTGCAAAAAATGGTCTGAAACTCAACATCAAAAAAACTAAGATCATGGCCACTGGTCCCATCACCTCCTGGGAAATAGAAGGGGAAGATATGGAGGCAGTGTCAAATTTTATCTTCCTGGGCTCCATGATTACTTCAGATGGAGACAGCAGCCCTGAAATTAAAAGGCGCCTTCTTCTTGGGAGGAAAGCGATGACAAATCTTGACAGCATCTTGAAAAGCAGAGACATCACCTTGCCAACAAAAGTCCGAATAGTCAAAGCTATGGTTTTTCCTGTCGTGATGTATGGAAGTGAGAGCTGGACCATAAAGAAAGCAGACCGCCGAAGAATTGATGCCCTTGAATTGTGGTGCTGGAGGAGGCTCTTGAGAATCACCTGGCCTGCAAGGAGAACAAACCTATCAGTTCTAAAGGAAATCAACCCTGAATGCTCACTTGAAGGACAGATTCTGAAGCTGAGGCTCCAGTACTTTGGCCATCTCATGAGAAGAAAAGAGTCCTTGGAAAAAACCTTGATGTTAGGAAGGTGTGATGGCAAGAGGAGAAGGGGACGACCGAGGATGAGATGGCTGGACAGTGTCTGCGAAGCAACCAACATGAACCTGACACAACTCCGGGAGGCAGTAGAAGACAGAAGGGCCTGGCGTGCTCTGGTCCATGGGGTCACGAAGAGTCGGACACGACTAAACGACTAAACACACACACACACACATAATTTACCTAGGCTTCACGCTCTGGAGAGGATGCTCCAGCTTCGTATACAGTGTCGAAACAACACAGAAAGTAGCAGTTACCAATTATAAGTCTGCTCGATTGGTGTAGAGCATGATGCCAGGGGCTACTTCTGACGGTGGGAGAGAGCTAGGAATTTTAAATTAAAAGTACTACAATGCTGGGTATGAGGAAATATGTTTTACCCTCTCAGATGTGCCCATCTGAAACAATACATAAGTGTGTCCTTCTGAATGCTGTTAGACTTAGAACGATCAGAACTAGACAATATAGGTAAAGGTTCCCCATTTAGTCCCGTCGTGTCCAACTCTAGGAGGCAGTGCTCATCCCCATTTCCAAGCTGCAGATCCAGCGTTTGTCCAAAGACAGTTCCTGTAGTCACGTGGCCAGCATGACTAGACACGGAACGCTGTTACCTTCCCAGCGTGGTGGAACCTATTTATCTACTTGCATTTTAATGTGTTTTCAAACTGCTAGTTTGGCAGGAGATGGGACAAGCGACGGGAGCTCACTCCGTCATGTGGATTCGATTTTACGACTGCTGGTCTTCCGACCTTGCAGCACAGAGGCTTTTGTGGTTTAAGCCACAGTGCCACCATTTAGCTAGCAGTGAAAAATAAACTGCAGTCTGACAGGATTAAGAGGGCTACCCTGTTAACTCAAAAATAAGACAAAACCTGAAAATAAGCGCTAGTATGATTTTTCAGGATGCTCGTAATATAAGCCCTACCTCCAAAATAAGCCCCAGTTAAATGAAATCCCTCCCTCCACCATTGTGCTGCAACCAGAAGAAGATGACATGACTGTATTTGAGTAAATGTAGATGGTTGTACATGAAAAAAAAACATCCCCTGAAAATAAGCCCTAATGCATTTTTGGAGCAAAAATTAATATAAAGCCCTGTCTTGTTTTCGGGGAAACACAGTACACATCTTGCCCATCAATGCCACAGAGTATGCAACTTAATTATCATAAATGTTGGACTAATTGTTGAAGAATTGCTACCGCAGAAGACCATGATAGATATTTAAGAAGGGCTGCATTCCCAGAACAGTCTTTTTCAATTTTTTATTCCAAGTGCATAGTTTATCTATGCATTAGCGGCAATGAACTTGAAATACAAATTGCAGCAGAGAGTTGTACAACATGGAGAAATAAGATGCTGTTATTTAAGTTATAGTAATGCATAACACTCAATTTTTATCATTTCTCTAATGATGCCAATCTTTTAAACCTATACACATCCCAGGGCATAAACCCTGTTAGACTGAATAGGGAGTATTTTTAACTAAATATATAGGATTACAGTGGAATCCTCCCCCTTTAAATAAATGTTTAAAAATTTGGTACACAAAAAATGGCAAAAAATATAAATGCAAGTAACGTTCATATTTTCCAAGTTCTTTTAGTTATCATAAAGTTATTTATATATATAAAAATAAAATGAAAATGTTTCTAATATAAACATTTTAATTTCAAAATACAAGTGTTAATTGAATAGTCATATTATTATCCAACAAGATTAGCTTAGACAGTAAAAACACAAAACCCATACAGGTTTTTGTATTATATATGCCTCAATTTCCTGACATTATAAAAATTCATTACTTTGTAATAATTAATGCTGCTTTTCTGGAAAGAAAAAGGACTTATATAGAAGAGACCCTTGTTTACAACAGTCTTGGATTTCTGGCCCCAAACACTTATCTGTACCTCAGCTACACACCTAGATTCTGCTGATTTATTGCAGTTCTTTGTACTGGGCCCCTTTTATCCTCTTTTCCCTCACTTCTTGCCTCTTCACATGTTTTATGACTGTAATACTTATTTATTTATTTATTTATTTGATTTATATCCCGCCCATCTGGTATATTCTACCACTCTGGGCGGCTACCAACAAACGTATATTTATTAAAATAATACAAAACCATTGACATAAACCTCAAAGGCAGCCCCACTGTAGACCGCGTTACAGTGGTCTAATCTTGAGATTACGAGCCCATGCAACAAGGTAGTGAGCGCCCCCATGTCAAGGTAGGGCTGCAGCCGTGCTATCCGCCAAAGGTGGAAAAAGGCGGTACGGACTACCGACGCCACCTGTGTTTCCATGGTGAGTGTCGCGTCCAAATGTACACCCAAGCTGCAGACCCCTCTTCGCAGCCAAGGCCACCCCCCCAAACGAGAGTCACCCAGGCCACCAGCCACAGGGGCCCCCACCCTCAGAACTTCCGTCTTGTCCAGGTTCAGCCTTAGCCCATTTTCCTGCATCCATTGCAGTACGGTCCCCAGGCAGCGCTGAAGGGACAGGACAGCATCACCTGCAGTTGGTGAAAAGGAGATGTAGAGCTGGGTGTTATCCGCATACTGATGACACGATGCTCCACACCCCGATGACCCTGCCCAGCGGTCTCATGTAGATGTTAAACAGCATTGGGGAGGTAATCGACCCCTGTGGAACCCCGCAATTGGAACTTCACGGGGCCGAGACACACTCCCCAAGCTGTACTCTCTGGGGCTGGTCCTCCTTATGTGTATTTAAGTCCACTGATTTCAGTGGCTTTGTCATGCCTATGGCTGCATGGGATCAGATTGTCTCTCAAAGGCCACTGGTTGACTGGCTGCAATCGTACACCACAAGTACATGGCAGTATATCCCATTGGACTTAATTTGACTTCAGAGCATCCATGCATAGGAGTTTGGAGTGAATTCAATGAAAGTACTTACGAAGAGGTATACAAATCAGACAATCTGGCAATGTGTATTCTCTGTGCAAGAGCCTTTACCCATGTACAGACTGCTCTTGCTTGATCACTATGTTTCTACTTCTGATTAACTTCAGCATTTGACCAAATGGAAAACAGAATTTGTAGAACACTACGAACAGTGGCCAGCAAAGTCTACTAAACTGTTCACTGTAATCATATAAATGAGAATTGGGAATTAGATTAAACATTCAAATACTGTATAGGTTTGCCTAATGATTATACGATTTAATTGGAGGGAACTAATAGCAGCACATGTTAAAAGGGTTTGTTCTCGGTGGTTTATACTACTGTAAATATTATATTGCAGAGGTAATCACAGATGTTAACAGGTTTACAGCCAGGGTTTATGGCTATTTTGTTTTATCATTGTATGCAGTAAAATGCTGAGTTGTGAAATGTTTGTTTAAGGGTTTATTTTCCATGATAGACAATCCCATTTTTCTCCCCTTCAATTTTCCATTTTCCACAATCATTCAATGTTCTTTGCCTGTGGAGCCTAACTCAGTCTTAATTGGACTATTTTGGTTCTCCCCACCCCCTATAATGCATTTTACCGAATGATAACTTTGAAACATTTTGACATCCCTCAATCTTTTTGATAATTTCTTCTTGAACATGGATTGTGCTATTTTAGGTTAGATGTGGATCTACACTGGGAGAACAAATTCACTGTTTGTATGTATTAAATCTGATTTCTAGAAAACACACACAATAATTTTGACAAAAGCAGATTTTGCCTGAGAACATCACACAACAAGCAAAGCTGTGTGCTGTAGTGAGTTTACTCAGATTATAGAGTTTTTGCGAGACTGAGGATATTTTTCAAGAGGAGCAGTTGATTACCATGCCTGGTGGGTAGTTGTATTTGAAGTTTCACCTTCAAAAGTGAAATACAACAAATAGAATTTTCATATCCCCTTCTAGCATCTGAACACTTTTTCACTTGAATCAGTTGACTATACTTTTCCATTCTGAGTTGCCAAGCAAGAAGAATATATACAGATGCCAATATAATAACAAAATACAATTTGTTCCTTGAGACACTAAAGGCAACCAGTCAAAATGTGTTATATTATTCAGCTAATGCCACCACGAGAGAATAATGCTTTTCTTTTATTTAATGACACTACTTCTTTGGCTTCTGAGGCTGTCCATGAACTATATATCAAATTGCAGCTATAAAGTAGTGGGTAGAATTTTTTTCATTCCAGTCACATCATGTTGATACTCTCCTCTCTTCTTTGTATGTTAATCCAATATAACTTTTAAGTACTGTAATCTTTTCTTCAGTTCCTATTGCTAAGGAAATTTCATCTTCAGAGAATGCCATAGGAGATTATTTAATTACAGAGATGACTCAAAGAGCTCATAGCTGTTTATCTTCTTTTCTTTATACAATAAAATTTGTTCCATCAGCTTCTTCTTTTTATTGTTGATCTCTATTTCTTTTGTCACTGCTGAAAATAAAAAAAAAACTATAACTTCACTGGAACTATGAATAGTTAATACTGTACAGCCACTTCTGAATTCCTGAGTTAACTGTAAATCAAAAGTTATTTTGAACAAATATTGAATATTAATTGCTTTTGTAAATCAACTTTTTAATCTATATGGCGGGGAATGGCTCATGAGGTTCTTTTACTTAGGAAGGAACATAATGTAAAGAACTATTATTGAATTGATGGGATTTATGCAAGACTTGTCTTAGAATTCAGCAATGGATCCAATGGGTCTACTTAGTTAGACTAGTGAACTGAATTTACTCCAAAGACAACTTTAAGCCTGGAAGTACCACAATTGACAGAGATTCAATTTAAATGGCCCCTTTTGAAAGATACTAATATCACTTGGAAATATGGTGCAGAGATGGAAAAGATACATTGTACTTCTCTGTGGCTGAAATCCTGTTGCACAATTATGCCAACTGCATAACTTCTGGAAGCCAATTGCCGCAAGGTAAGAAATCTCCATATGCATTAATGGCAAACCTTTTTGATCCCAAGTGCCCAAGCTGGGAGGGGGGAGGCACAACAACCCAGTAGGCGGCAGGTGGTGGCGGAAGTGGCAGTGGGTGCCTCCCACTCTGGATTCGGCTCCAGTTGTGCCCAGCCCCGGTGGTGGCGGAAGTGGCAGTGGGTGCCTCCAGACCCCTCTGGATTCGCCTCCAGTTATGCCCAACCCCACCACTGCCTATAGCTCAGTCCACCTGCTGCCGCTCGCTGCTCTGGATCTCGGCCAGCCACCTGTCGCAGTGCCCACTGCCTATAGCTCAGTCCACCTGCTGCTGTTCGCTGCTCTGGATCTCGGCCAGCCGCCTGTCGCAGTGCTAGCACCGCGACTGCAGCTGCCTCCTCAGGTTTAGCTACTGGGGGTAGCGATCCGGCGACTTATGGCTCGTGTGCCCACAGAAATGGCTCTGTGTGCTAGCTTTGGCACGAGTGCCATAGGTTTGCCATCACTGATCTATAGCATACTGAATTGTGACATTCAAGGTGCAACTACCTTGACATAATTGCATGCTGTCAAGCCGGTTCAGATACACAGTGACCCCTTTCAGGGTTTTCTAAGTAGAGAATATACAGAAATGGTTTTGCGATTCCCTTCTTCCGGGAGCATCCTGAGACTGTGCAGCTTGCCCAAAGCCACATAAGCTGGATCTACTCACAGGAGGCACAGTGGGGAATCAAACTCCAATCTTGGCAACACAGCTAGATACAAAAACCACTGAGCTATCCAGCTAGCTTTACATTGACATAAAATGCAGTAAATGCTACAAGACTGGGAAAGTCAGTGAATCACATTTTTTTCTATTGATCACATGACATAGAAAGAAATGCAAATCAGCCCAGAGTCTGCTCCTCTCCTATTCAGTAGTTTCCCCCTCCACTATTGGGGCTTCTATTGTTTTCCCAGTGGATCTATTCATATTAGTTCAGATGGTATGATCACTTGGACCTCTGCAGTTCTGCCACCTCCCATCGCCACAAGTAGCTGCAAGTTTTGGTGAATTTGAATGTCATTGTGAAGAAGACAGCATCTAATTTCATCACAATCACAAATAAGAGCCTCTAAAGAACATTTGGTAAGTCATGTATTTATTCAATGAGCCTACTCTGCTTGCAACTTACGATGCTAAGCAGCAGAATTTCAGCCACTTTAACTCTGTCTTTCAAAGTATATATAAAAGTTACCTTCTGATGAACAGGTAGCGCTACTATTGCCTCTGTGTGATGGAACAATTCCGCTGGAAGAGGCCGTTGCCTCCTGTGGCTCCATACTCCTGTCAGAGTCCATTTTTTTTGCTGTGAAATCACTGGTATAATCTGCATCATTGTTTAGGTGCTTAAGGAGAGAAATATTTTCAAAATGTGGATGGCCATTGCTTAGCGACCGCGACTGGCAGCAAGCATTCCCTGAATGGTCCCAAGAAAAGCTATCGTATTCATCTGATTCACAAGGGATCTGCAATAATTGCTCAGAATTGGTTTCATGAGGCACAGTTCTTATCAAAGGTGGCAACAAATCCACATCATTCAGGGGTTCCGAATTCACCCTACCCTCACAGCTGTGGTCACCTGAGAAACCAACATTCAATGAAGTAGTGGGTTCATCATTAGTTTCTTCTGGGGTATTGACAGATAGGCGAAAACATCTGTTTCCTTCAGGCATTTGGTGATAATGTATTTGACGATCTGCCATTTCCACACTTTCTTTCACCTGTATTTAAAAGCAATGTTCAACAGCTTATTTGCATTTAACTCACTAAAATAAAACCGTCTATCCTTAGCACTTTGGCATAGGCTCTCAGACAGAGAAACTCCCTCCACCCAAAAAAATAAGTTTCATAGCAATATTCTTCATGTGTTCCTGCCACATGTGCAATAAGGGTGTGAAAAGGAGTGGGACTGCTAGCTCCACCTTAACATCACTTGAGCTGCTACTCTCTCCTGAGTGACACCTATATAGTGAGAATGCTGGCACTCCTTCAACATGCATATGCTGAGTGCCTGGGTCTGTAGGTGCAGATGTACCACTGAACACGTGGGCACTGAAGATGCAGAGCCAGCAGAGTGTACTGTGCTGGAGGAGAGATCGGTGGGGTGAACTATCCTAGCCTTCACATGAGGTCCCTTCAAAAACCACCTCTATTTCCATGTACAGACAGTACATCTAGTTCATCTAGTTTTATAGATTCATTCTGAATTCTGAGGACTGGCACACTAGCAACAGGATGTCCAAGGCAAAATATGAAAGTTCCAAGGCTGGTACAGTGCCACTACTCTGCAATGCTATGTTGGGAGACAAACCAGGTGGCAGCTGAAAAACTTTTGCATCAGTAATGTGGCACAAATGGCAATCCCCTGGTTAAGTCAACTCACTATCATCAGCTAGGGTCTGCCTGCCATAGAGAGAATTTTTTTAAAAAAAATCCTATATCTAGTTTTGGTACTAAGAACCAAGTTGCAATTCACATAGTGAATGTATAAGATGTGAAGAAAAGACATGAAACTTAGAAGCAACTGCAATAAGACCTGCCAGGCCAATAAGACAGAAAATAGGGTCTATAGCACCTTTTATGTCAACCTTGTGATATGCATATAAATGAACAATCTCCACCAGTTACTTTCTTGAACATAAGGGGGAAGTGGTCTGGGAAGGAGATATCACATTTACCTCAGCCATATTAGCATTCTTTTTCCGAAGACAAACACAGACAGCTGTGGCCAACCAAGTAGCTGCTGTTGTTGCCAAGCAGCCTGCATGCTTGTCTTGATATTTATGACATATTTCTATTGCAGCAAATCTTTCAAAGGTTTTTTCCTTAGAAGAGAGCAGTTCTTTTGCTAGTCGGATTTCTTCAAGGATGGCATCTTTCTGTTAAGGGAAAAAGAATGGTAAAGATATATAGGTGTGCTGTTGGGATCTGCGGATGAAACTTAGGCATCCTTCAGTCTCGAAAGACTATATGGTAAAGATATATAGGTGTGCCATTTCGTTTGTGCGGGAATCATATTGAAGAGCTGATCCATATGAACCCTGAGGATTGCAGAAACTAATTTCCTTCAGAATGGATAGGTTTGTTCTCTTTGCAGTTCAGGGGATTCCCAAGAGTCTCCTCCAGCACCACAATTCAAAAGCATCAATTCTTCGACGGTCAGCCTTCTTTATGCTCCAGCTCTCATTTCCACTACATTGCTACTGGAAAAACCATAGCTTTAACTATGCGGCTCTTTGTCGACAAGTGATGTCTCTGCTTTCTTCTTTCTCTGCATCAATAACCAGCAATCTCTAGTCCTCCAGATGTTGCTGCACTACAACTTTCATAATTCCTTACCATAGGCTATGGTGAGGGGAGTTGTACTCTGACAACATCTAGAGAATGACAAGTTGCCCATTGCTGGAATGTATGATATTGTATATGTTTTTGTGTTTATGTGTGTATGTGCACACACAGAGAGATCTGCATGAAATAACAGATCTTAGCCCTAAGATTGCATTGCCCAGACCGTTCAAAGTTGCTCTGCTTCAAAACCCAATTTGCTAACATGTACACACAAAGGAACACAAACTTCACTAACCAGAAAAACAGGGTGTCTTCCTTCATCCATTGCCTTCATGCCAGTCAAGATCTCTGCTAAAACCTAGAAAAATTCAATTATGTATTTTCTTTAGAACAGATTATTCACTTAGATCAAAGAAATATTACAAAATAATCCTAAATTGCATTGAGGGCGGGAAAGTGAAAAGGCAGATCTAACACCAATTTCAAAATGCTGCCAGCTTTTACCAGTCTGGCAAAACAGAAAGCCTACCAATGATAAACTATTGCATGTGGAGTTCTCCATGCACATAAGGCGTGCATCTGCAGTGTAGAAGCTCCAAGCTAGAAGAAGGATTCTTCAATCCAGTCCTAATCCCTTCCAGCCAGCAGTTCTGTGGATTAGGCTTTCATGTATTTACCTGGTCAATTGCAGTGAGACATAGGCTGTCATTACCTTCAATGAGATGCTCGTTTCATGATACCATAGAATGACAGCCAGCTGTGCTGAGCTTCCCTACAGTCCTGGTATGCAGGTTATTTCTAGCACTGTGTGCACCCAGTCAACTACTGTACACCCTATTCCCCAAAATGGAGCACTTAAGAAGAATCTATGATTCTGCCTTAAATGGACTAAGAAGATTAATCTAGCCCCATTTTGTATCCTCTGACTGGTAGAACCAGAGGTCTGCTTTCTCAATCTTTCTTCATTAGGGCTAACTATGATATAACTGAAGACCTTCTACATGCACAGTATGTGTTCTGGCACTTATCAGAAGATCACTTCCTAGAATGAGTTAAGCAAATGTATATTATAAATGTATATAAATGTATATATCTGTATGCTAGTAGCAGACATCATGCTAAAACTGCAAGGCTAACTTCCAGTAAGGATAATCATTAACCTGCTGTCTATTGTCTCTGGGTAATGTAGTTAAAGTGTCTACCTCAGGAATGTTTACATTGTCTGTGTATTTGGAGTTATCTGTGTCTGTTTACTATTAGCTGTCTGTTTACCAGCCTGTCTGTTTACCAACCACACTGTTTACTGATGCCTGTGTATTCAAGGAAATTACTTGTCTCTGTTTACCAGCACTCTGGTTATTCTGTTGTGTATTCAAGAAATTAGTTAACTCTGTATTGATTAACTAGTGCTGTGGTAGGAGAAAACAATAAAAGAAGAGGAGGCGAGGGAACAAGAGAGTCCCTCTGGACAGATGCCTGACGGCAGGCTGTCCTTGTTCATCCGGATCCCGTCCTGAAAAACCACACTCGAGTGTCCTGTGTCTTTTCCTTTCTCCTTGCTGGTCGAGGAGAAAGATCCCTGCCCTGAAGCTTCATCTGCAAGATCCCTACTTCCTCTCATCTTGCAGATCCCGACAGTGTGCCATTTCGTTTGTGTGGGAATCATATTGAAGAGCTGACCCACATGAACCCTGAGGACTGCAGAAACTAATTTACTTCAGAATGGATAGGTTTGTTCTCCTTGCAGTCCAGGGGACTCTCAAGATCCTCCTCCAGCACCACAATTCAAAAGCATCAATTCTTCGACGGTCTGCTTTCTTTATGCTCCAGCTCTCACTTCCATACATTGCTACTGGAAAAACCATTGACTATTTGACTATTCGGCTCTTTGTCGACAAGTGATGTCTCTGCTTTTTGCTTTCTCTGTACATTTATACTATATCAGTAACCAGCAGTCTCTAGTCCTTCAGATGTTGCTGCACTACAACTTTAAGAATTCCTTACCATAAGCTATGGTGAGGGGAGTTGTACTCTGACAACATCTAGAGAATGACAAGTTGCCTATTGCTGGATTGTATGATATTGTATATGTTTTTGTATTTATGTGTGTGTTTATGTGCACACACAGAGATATCTGCATGAAATAACAGATCTTAGCCCTAAGATTGCATTGCCCAGACCGTTCAAAGTTGCTCTGCTTCAAAACCCAATTTGCTAACATGTACACACAAAGGAACACAAACTTCACTAACCAGAAAAACAGGGTGTCTTCCTTCATCCATTGCCTTCATGCCAGTCAAGATCTCTGCTAAAACCTAGAAAAATTCAATTATGTATTTTCTTTAGAACAGATTATTCACTTAGATCAAAGAAATATTACAAGATAATCCTAAATTGCATTGAGGGTGGGGAAGTGAAAAGGCAGATCTAACACCAATTTCAAAATGCTGCCAGCTTTTACCAGTCTGGCAAAACAGAAAGCCTACCAATGATAAACTATTGCATGTGGAGTTCTCCATGCACATAAGGCGTGCATCTGCAGTGTAGAAGCTCCAAGCTAGAAGAAGGATTCTTCAATCCAGTCCTAATCCCTTCCAGCCAGCAGTTCTGTGGATTAGGCTTTCATGTATTTACCTGGTCAATTGCAGTGAGACATAGGCTGTCATTACCTTCAATGAGATGCTCGTTTCATGATACCATAGAATGACAGCCAGCTGTGCTGAGCTTCCCTACAGTCCTGGTATGCAGGTTATTTCTAGCACTGTGTGCACCCAGTCAACTACTGTACACCCTATTCCCCAAAATGGAGCACTTAAGAAGAATCTATGATTCTGCCTTAAATGGACTAAGAAGATTAATCTAGCCCCATTTTGTATCTTCTGACTGGTAGAACCAGAGGTCTGCTTTCTCAATCTTTCTTCATTAGGGCTAACTATGATATAACTGAAGACCTTCTACATACACAGTATGTGTTCTGGCACTTATCAGAGGCTCACTTCCTAGAATGAGTTAGAAACATAGGAGATAAAAACTTAATAAAGTCAGCACTTTGGCTGACATTAATAGTCAATCTCAATAAAAAGACATGATCAAAATACATCACCAACAACCACATGAACTTGGTGATAAAACTGCTTCTTTTAGCCTTTATTTTGGCTTTTTATAGCCTTTTCTCAAAAAATAAAACCCTTTTTGTTGTCACTTGAAGCATGGCCCATATACTATGTTTCTATGTCCAGAGTGCTGTTTTTAAAAATTTAAATAACAAATCAGCAAGTGAATGAACAAATGAATGAAGAAATGAATAACAGGCACTATATATACTAATACACATGGTAGAAGCAAGAAATTAAATTCACTTGAAATAAATGTCCTGTATCTACACACAAAAAGGGACCACTTACTATTCCACAACCAAATATATCCACTTTTTCTGTTAGTTGCCCATGCCTGATGAAATCCTCTGGGAAGTAAGCAAGAGAAGCTTGTAAAACTTTGGTTTTCACCATCGCATAATCGGATTTTTTCTCCACAGGGTGCAACCGAAGACCAGAATGCCCAAGTTGAGGCACAAAGTTTGCATCTAGCAAAACATTGGAACTGTGTGTGTAAGAAATAAAAAGTACAGAAGAAAAGGGCAATTATACCATTGCTTAAAATGTGTTGTGGCAGCAAAATTGCCACACCACTAGACAAATGTATGACCAAACAAAAACCAAAACAAAACAAAACAAAACAAAAGAAGCAGTTCCTTAAAAACATGTGTCAGACAAAACAAATGTCTTCAGTGGTAATATGCTACAACACTGAGCTACGAGGGCTAGCTTCTGATTCAAAGCTGAATTCCATATGGCAGCTTGGGGCAATGTATGTTAAGTTTAAGGATCTCTTTGTTACAAATATAAGAATCCTTGCAACATTGCAGCACTGAAAAGGTACAACAAAATTCCAGATTCCAATATTTTAGTAATGCTAGACAGTGGTATTCTTTACATAGTTACTGTATTTCATCTTCTCCATTCTAAGTTTCAAGGCAAAGAAGCAAGTTATTTCACCACATGTTAACTGTGTTTACTGAACTAACATGAATGTACTTGGCATTTGTAGGGCAACTGATGGGCAGAAGCAACCATTCTGGCATCTACTTATTTTCCCTATGAATATACCCTTGTGGCTTTCTTTCTCAGCTGGGAGTAAAGGGGATGTGCTAAGACCCAAATGGAGGGGATACTGGCAGTGCAGAGTCACCGGAAGAGGGAAGGACTACAATCACATCTGCTGATCTCCACTACGAAATGCTTTCTCAGGCCAGCTAGATTAGTGTTATAAGATAAATATGCACAGGGAACCCGATCCTTATTTTAGTTCCTTGCTGGCCATATCTTGTTTTTCTTTTAGGAAAAATATATTAATATTTGAGAATGTGAAGCAGGTTCTCATGAAATAGATTGAAATTCCCATTTTCAGCAACAGACAATAATATTTCAAGTTAGGATAAGGAAATGGCATATTATTACAATCCCAATTTGAAAACTTCGGGGAAGGAACTGAGATGGGAGGGAGAGAGACCTTTCTGCACTTACTAAATTTATCTAGGTCTGCATCAGTGTCTAAGTGTATAAAACTTCAATTAGGTGGTCTATAGCCCTCCATTCAACAGATGCCAGGGCCATGAACAGCAACCGTATCACATGCAACCATACAATAAAATCACAAAACGAATGACAGAACAAAAAAAAAAATCAACGGCAAGGCTAAGGCACTTATTAAAAGCCTGGGAAAACAAATTTATATTCTGAGACTATAATCTATCTGATCCTATCTTAAATTTATTTGGGGCATATTTTAAAGAACATCTTAAGCAGTAACAGGCAAGAGATTCCTATGCTTGTAAATTTTCACACAGAAATTAATTTACAGTTAAGTACATGATTTCATTCTAACATTCAGTAGTGAACTGAAAATAGCTGCTTTTCTTGTTTTGTGTTATTTTGATGAAGTAGGGGGGATGGCATTTTAACATCAGCTCCACACCTTTTTATGTTTCCATGAATAATTCCAAAGTGATGTAAATGTTGAATGGCTTGAATAAGTCCCAAAGAGATGCTGATGCGTTTCTCCCAAGTTAATGCTGCAGAATCTTCCTGCAACAGAAAGGAAAGTTACTCGTTAAAAATTACATGGCCATCAATCTGCTTTTCTCTCTTGTAGTAACCAACATCATAAATTTCCTTATAGATTGCTCATTGATCTTATACTGGTTCAAATGGCTGGACTTGATGATCCACTGGATCCTTTCCAGCTGTGCTGAAAGTTCTAAGATGATTATGAAATCAGTAAATCATACACTTCATAGAATCAGAGGAGATTCTGTCTTTTAAAATATATGCAGAATATATTTTAAACTGTGCTCCAGCTGGGATATTATCAGTTTCTATGAACACTGCTAGTTCATTGGTAAAAATCAAAAGGTAATAAAATTTATTGAATCTCACAAATGTTTTTAGATTATATTTACTTTTGGTTAGGTGGTTAGATTTTTCTGTGTAGAACAGACCTCCATGTCCAATTGATACTATAGAAAAATTTCATAGCTGGGATTCAGAAAGTACCATCACACAAACTGTGCTGGTAACTGCTTTTCACAAAACCTTAGCACAATGTGACCTAGAACTAATCAGGTTGTTTTTGGGATCCAGACACCTATATGTAAAACATGAACAGAATCTAAAAAAAGAAAACAATCCTTCCCAAACTGGCTGATCTTAAGACAGAAAACATCTATTTCATACAAAGCATCTATAGCCTTTTCAATACCTGGTTTAGAAACACATTTATTTACTTAGAATCTTCACAAATTTATTTACTTTGTTCCTCTAGCCCACTATTGCTCAGAGGCCAATGCCTGGGAATATACAGTATATCACAAAAGTGAGTACACCCCCTCACATTTCATAAATATTTTAATATATCTTTCATTTGAGATCGCTGAAGAAATTGCTCAGAGGCCAATGCCTGGGAATATACAGCATATCACAGAAGTCTAAACCACTGGCAACAAAAGTGAGTACACCCCTAAGTGACAATGTCCAAATTGGGCATAAAGTGTCAATATTTTGTTTGGCCACCATTATTTTCCAGCCTTAACCCTCTTGGGCATAGAGTTTACCAAAGCTTCATAGTTTGCCACTGGAGTCCTCTTCCACTCCTCCATGACAACATCACAGAGCTGGTGGATGTTAGAGACCTTGCACACCTCCACCTTCCGTTTCAGGATGCCCCACAGACGCTCAATAGGGTTTAGGTCTGGAGGCATGCTTGCCCAGTCCATCACCTTTACCCTCAGCTTCTATAGCAAGGCAGTGGTCATTCTGGAGGTGTGTTTGGGGTTAGCATGTTGGAATACGGCCCTGTGGCCCAGTCTACAAAGGGAGGGGATCATGCTCTGCTTCAGTATGTCACAGTACATATTGACCCCCCAGCCCTTCAACCTCTGCAGCAACATGCCTTAGTAACATCTTAGCTAGATTACTGTAATGGAAAATGCCTTTGGAAAATGCTCAGAAACTTCAGCAGATTCAAAACGCTGCAGCCAGATTGTGAACTGGGGCTGATTACAGGGATCACATAAACCCTCTGTTAGCAGCTCCACGGACTGCCGATCCATTTCTGGGCACAATTCAAAGTGCTAGTTTCAACCTATAAAGCCCTAAATGACCTGGGTCTAAGCTATCTCAAAGACTGTATCTCCCTTTATGAGCCTGTTTCTTTCAGTCCCACCATCTTCTTAAGTGTATTTAGAGGTGACCCAGGAGAAGACCTTCTCTGTCACAGCTCCCAGACTTGAACTCTGTCCCACAGAAGGCCCCATCCTTGGTATCCTTCTACAAGCAGGGGAAGACCTTTCTCTTCTGGCAGTCCTTAGTGACTGACTGTCTAGGAGACAATAAATGGGATGGTTTATATTTTGTTGCTTCTAAATCTGTTTTAGCAATGCTTTGATCTAACATTTTTAATATAATGTTAATAATTATTTTTAAATATTTGAATAATTTACTGTTTTTAGCTTTTAATGTTGTGTCTTTAATGATGTAAGCCGCTTTGGGTCCTTTTTCAGCAGAAAGGTGAGGTAAAATATTTTAAACAAATTAACAATAACAACAGATAAACAAACAGTGGGGTGTTGAATCTGTGGCCTCCCAGACTTTGTTGGACTACAGTTCATATCACCTGGGACCATTGCCCATGTTGGCTGGTGTTGACTGGAACTGAAGCTGAAGAACGTTTGGAAAGCCACAAGTATACCAGCCCCTTTATAGTACATTCTTCAGTGTTATGGTTTTCTGTCTGTTCAGTTCAAACTCCATCTACTTTGAGAATTCTAACATAGTAAGCCACAATATGCAACTTTATTGCTTACCTGACACTGTAATCTATCAGCCAATGATCCGTTTGACATGTAAGGGTAAATGAGGCAATGAAATCCACTTTCTACACAGAAGCCCAACAGCCGTAGAATATTAGGATGGCAACAGCTGAAATGTATTTGAACAACATCACTTGTGAAAAAAGAATGTCCTATTACTTAAAACAATACTAAATTTTCAGTCTTAAACTCTGGTATTTGTACAATCTATCTTTAGCAACTTCCACACAATTTAGCAAGAGATCACATCTGTTTCATTTAGAGAAATATTAGCTGTGAAATGATTCAGATGTTACTCTTCCTCTGCCCTGTGGTCAGAATGATGACATGTCTCAAATTCACGAAGTTCCTCCCAAGTCCCCTCAGCTTCTGCCTGCCACAAAGAAGTGAACAGCTAAGTAATAAGATCCTGCCTGGTCACGAAGCTCATGATTGGAGTGTAATGGTTTAAGCGTGTGGGGGGGATTTCCACAGCTTCTATCACGATTAAATCTGGACTGGCAGCATGGGTTCGCAGGTTCGCTTCAAGGTTTGAACTACACGCTGAAGCATTTAAGGTAGCACAGTCCAATATTTTTACATACAGATTATACAGTAATTGTAATACAGCAGATGGTAAACATGCACACATAACTGGCACTTTGCTACTGCCTCCTATTGAAGAAAAAATATATGACAGTGTGAGGGAGTGCAGGCATGCACCCCTAGAAAGCCACCAGGTCCCAGCGAGTATTAGTATCAAGCCAAAGGGATAGAGTCCACACAGCAGAAGGAGATACGTCTGTCTGGCAGGGAACATTTGGAGGAGGTAGAGTCAAGGAGAAGAAAAGAGCAGAACTGGGAAGGCACAGGGTCATCGCTGATCTCCAGGGAAGAGGATGTGTGGGAAGATGCAAGAGAGGAGAATGTTGGAAGCTGTCTACCCTTATTGGGTTTGTTTGCTTGTGACAAAAATCAGACAGCAAAGACCCCAGCCACGTGCCTGGACAAGGCTATGTTAAGCCTGAGCATCGCCACAACCCTGGAGAGGCAAGTGGTGACAAACAGAGATGAGTTGCACAGCCTTGACTTCTTTTGCTCATCTATACAAGCTTTCTCTAAAAGGGGAGCATTCTGGACCTAAGCTCTCCTCTCCTCCTTGCTTTCCAAGACATGGATTCTGGGGAACTCTGGTGAATTTAACTGAGTCCCCGAATTGGCAAGTTACATACCGGCATTCCAAGGGTTCAAAGACTATAATTCAGTCCTGTGACACTGAAGGGGGAAAGGCAGGGGAAAAGTGACACTGCACCACTAATAAAAGCTGTTTTGAGCCAAGAGGCTGCTGGCGACTATGGAGTTATCATTGGGGGACTGGTGGGATTTGCAGATAGGCTAATAAAACAATATTTTCTAATGACAAACATTTATTTATTTATTGTATTTACATCCAATAAATAAGGAGAATCTCAATGAATCTGTTGCATTCATTGCTGTGATAAACCTGCAGATCTTGCCCAATATTGACCAAAAAGATTCCACAACAGCATGCATATTCTTTTCAAATAATTCACAGAATGTATTACAGCTTGGAATGCACCAGTTGTGGGTTTTGTTAGTGGGGTACAGAAAACCAAAGCCAGAGAGCTTGCTTGGATATGTGTCTGACTTTTGGTGCACTTGGTTTATTGCACTCAAGCAGCCAGAATTATAAACCACTACAAGCCATTGCTTTTGATTGTGTTTTCAGTGTTATCACTCTAGAGAGTTCATATGTAACACAACAAGCATTTAGCTGCTTATGCTTGCAGAAGGAAACAGGCAAGATTGATTGAGCAATGGGCATCAACATACTACCTGAACTTAATGTGACAGCTCTTCATTTGCATATGAAAATATGAATGACAGACACAAGTAGTGCAAGACATCATCCATCGATTCTACTAGCTAGTGTTAGTTTTCTACCTGCACAGAATGTGATGAGGATTCCTGGTGCTTCCTGGAGCCTTAAAAAAGACTGCCAGCAGGATTCAGAGGTATAACTAATGCTCAGAAAGTATATTCAAGCTGATTATATTAATCTCTTTTTTCACTACCAACTTTTGGGCGATTACTTACCGAAAGCAGATCTGTACTTCTATGCGAAAAAATCTTTGTGTCTGACTCTGGTAGAGAGTGTAAAAAGAGAACAGATATATTACTTTTCAAAGAACATAATAAATATATTTGTATATTCTAACGCAAGTCTGTACTGACTAACCATTTTCTTAAGTATTTAAATTCTCTAATTTTAAGATTGTACTCGTATAACTGACTTACGAATGGAGGTGATGAGATTGCCATCTTTTAATTTAATTAGCTCAACAGCCTCCAAGAAATCGACTTCTACCACATATTGTACCTCACTCCACTATTTTCTGGATTTATTTAACATGTTTTTGATGATGGGTTATATTTTTGTCTCCATGGCTTCAACTCTGCCGCTTTAATCTGTTCTGGGGTTCCTCTCAATTTGGGGTGGGTGTGGGGTTACAAAACTGAAGGCTACAGGGGGAAGGAAGAGGGGATTTCATACTTGTGGTCAGTCTCTGGCACGATGTTAGATTTGCACCTGTTTGTATTGTTTTTATCTTTCTGTTGCTCATATTTCAGAACTTGAGTAGAAAAACAGGAGTATTTGCAGATCTCTATTCTACCACTAAAAAGCGACAGAACCTATACCTAAAATGATTTGGAAATGTGAACCGCCCATGGTTCTTATATAGATATAAAGTGAATGCACCAAATTATTCTTCCAGAACACCAAGAGATAATGGGAAGACCTGGATTTCTGGAAGAGGGCTTCTTTGCTTGGTCTAAGCCAAGCCTAAGGTTACCAAGCGGAGCAGCAACATTGGCACACCAAACAAGCTTTGTGCAAGGGAGTGGAGACCCCTGTGAACCAATTCTGGAGCATATCTAGAGCTGGAAAGGTGTCCTCTAAGAGTGTTCTACCAAAGACATACAAGAAGAGCAGTCTGAAGAATTCACTGAGGGAATCCGCAGATAATTTTATTTCTAACCAGCTTCTCACAGATAAGCTAGTTAAGCAACTACTCCTTAAATGTCTCTAGTGCAACTGTTGCATGAAATCTGTAATATAAATGTAGAAAAGTTACCTTTTCTTTTAGCCTTTTAACAACACAAAGAGCATTGTCTCTCCGACCTTTGTAGGCAATGGAAAAAATGCTTTCACTAAGTCGATTTTCCTCACTGAAGCCATCAGTAGCAGTTTCAACTTCATTTGGTGTCCACAAAAGATTGTCACTGAGCTGATTAGGCATATTTTCTTGCTGAGGAATCGAGGTACTGCAAGGCTAAAGGTTTCAAATAGAAGACATTGCAATATTAGTCACTCTTTGGGGGTAGGTGGGAATTGCAGCATTTAGAATTTATCAACTAGCACAGCCATTCACCATGCTGGCTGGAAGCTGTTGTCCAATAGAGCCAACTTTTCTAATCCATGTTTTCTAATAAATGCAAACTATATTGACCTCCTACCTACTTTTACAGAGGTGTAACAGTCATTTAACAGTAGGGTATATGTGTAGTCATACCCAGTGTGATGTAGTGGGTAGATGGATGAACTAGGACTCATCATGCTCATCCTCATCTCTCTCACAGTCTGAGTCTGGAGAACAGTGAAATATTTACACCAGTAAAAAGATAGTGATGTAGAAGAGCCAAAGTTGAAGGGTCAAAGCCTCTGCCCAGACCTTTTCATTAACAAGTATCATAATCTTCCATCCACCCACCCTCTTTTGGGACTTGTGCCTCCCAAGTGTATCTGCCACCCCCACAGTAGCTGAAGACCAAAGAATTCTCTCACTCCCAGCATATTGCCATGAGCTATTCTTGTTCTAATATAAAGTCTTTTGAGGTTGATTGGTCTTGCATGGGCAATTAATCAATGAGCTAATGTGCTGTAGAGTGTAGACAATAAACTGCTAGACCAGGACTCAGAAGACCTGGGTTCAAATCCCCTCTCAGCCATGGAAATTCATGGGTATTTTGGCACTGGTAAAGCTACTTTTTAAAGGTCTCACATATCATGGAAACCCTATTTGGGTTGCTATAAGTTGGATGTGACTTGATGGCATATAATACACATATATGTGAATAGGCAATATAAAGAACCAGGGGTCTTGTGGTGCAGTGGTTAAACTGAAATACTTCAGTGAAGACTCTGCTCACAACCTGAATTCAATCCCAACGGGGTCAGGTAGCTGGCTCAAGGCTGACTCAGTGTGAGGGTTCGATTCCCGGCTCCTGGGTTGCGCCAAATAAATCACCTAGTCTTACAGGGTTTTGAAATAGGTGTAACGTTCATTGGCTTATTTAACAAAAATCCTGTATCAGCAAATGTGTTCCAACCTTTCTCCCTGTCAAACAACAGGTCTGACAGGGGGGTCCATTCATCAACTTTAAACGGGTTCTCTTCATGTACGTTCCAAGGTCCTGGCCAGTCTAAAGAAACACCCATGTTCAATAAGGGTCCATTCTCTCAATAAGGGGATTATATCCTCGTCTTGCTGTTCCACCCAGGCAAGTTCTGGGGTGGGGTTGATCATCTGCCAGGGTCCTCCCTCAGGGACATCTGCTGCCTCTCCCAGATTCTCCATTCCAATCTCTCCCTCCTTTCCTTTTCTACTTTTTCCTTTTCCTCCCTTAATTTCCTCCTCCACTCTATTGTTTCTCTCTCACCCCAGTATGATGGTTTGTGTTCTCTCGCCTCCTTCTTGCATCTGCCTCCTCCTTAGGAACTCTTAGCTTCTCCACCTTCCCAGTCCACAGGTCTTCTATCCACATCCATTCCCAACCTGCTGGAAGTCCTCTCTCCTCCCCCTCTTTTATATCAGCCAGCCCCACCTCCACTACTGACCGCGCTTTTTGTCTCCTTCCCGCCAAATCCATCCCAGTCTCTTTGACCATTAACTCATTCAAATCTTCCTCTATCCTCCCCGGGTCTGGTCCAGGTGGTCTTGTCTTCCTGGGTGGGGGAATTGGTGGGGTTTGACTCTCCTTATCAGCAGAAGGCGGGAGGGACGGCACTCCCGTGAGAGACACCTGGCTCTCACCTCCGGTCTTACACTCAGCCTTCCATCCTTCCAG